AGCCTCGGCCCCTCCTGCCCTCGCCCCCACATCCCTGCCACTGCCAAGACCTGCCAACCTCCCTCCAAAGTAAATCCCAAGCCCGCTCCTCAGTGCCTGAGCTGCCACCCTGGCGTCTGAGCCACCCCCCACTTCCCCAGCCCCTCCCGCCCGCCCCCTGCCCTCTCCTGCCGCCTCTCAGAAGCCAGATGGGAATCAGGCCCATCCTGTGCCCTCTGCACACTTTCTCCACAGTGGACGGCCGGCCACCAGCCAGGAGCTCCGTGCATGGACGCCACCTCCTACTCCAACCAACCATCTCCTCCTCCTCATGTCCCTGGTCCTTCTTCCCTGACACTTTGCCCCCATCCTCCCCCCCAGCCCCTTCTCAGCCTGGAGCTCACTTTCTTTATACCCCCCAAATAACAAGGTATCCCCCTCCTTTCCCCCCAAGCTGCCATCTGTCGCCTCTACAGGACTTTCCCTTCCTCAGAAGTCCGTGTTCGTCACTATTTCTGCCTCGCCACAAGGCCCCAAGGGAGATGCCTGCCATCCTGTCACTGTCACATCCTGCGAGCAGCCAGACACCTGGTGCATAAGCAAGCCACGCAGAAGGTGACAGCAGCTTGAATTTGCTGTGCTCCTTCAGGCCTCTTTGAGTGGAATCATCTACCCCTTCTCTTGATGCTTGCCATTTTCCAGATGTGAAGACTGAGGCTCAGAGGCTGGGACAGGTTGCCCACTACCACGCAGCTGGAGTGTGGCAGTGCTGCATGTAGAATCCAGGTCTCTAGAGCTGGAAGTCTGTGTGTCTGACCACTGTGCCATCTGCAGTGGTCACTGCCATCGACACTATCAACACTGTTGCTGTATCCTCACATCTCAGAGGCCATTGGTTGTAAACTGCATCCTTATTTTATAGTCACTCATTCAGGCTTAGAAGAAACCTGACTGAAACTGTAGCCTGCCACCCCAGTTTTAAAGATGAGAAAATACACTTTGAAAGAGCCCTAACACAGGGGTGATCATTGAGTATTATTAAACTTCCTGAAACCTGCTGGGGTCGGTGGTGGCACATGTTTGTGATCCCAGCATTCAGGAGGCTGAGACAGGAGGATCATCCAGAGTTCAGAGCCAGCCTGAACTACATAGGAAGGCTTTGTCTCAAAAAACAAAAATAAGTAAATGAATAAAATAAAACCTCATGAAGTCAGAATAACTTAAAATTGTTTGCTGTTTTAAGCTTTTAAATTAAGCTCTCCCAATAACACATAATAGCTGCTATGTTATGTTCAACAACCATGAGATTGTCTTGGGAGCAACTGATTGAATTAACTGGAAAGTCTGCAATACATGAAAATGTATTCTTCTCTTCATTCTTCCAGAAAATAACATTGCAGAGAATTTTTTTAAAACATAAATAAATAAAGATGTGAAAGCACAAGAACAATGTTTATGGAGAATTGATGCAGTAGAAATGTTTTGGTTTTGTTTGTTTTTGGTACTGGGGATCAAACCCAGCAGCACTCTACTACTGACCTACTTTTGAGGTTTAAAATTTAAAACTTTTTAAAAATTAAAGTGGAACTCAGATTTGCCATCCTCCTGCCTCAGCTTCCCTCATTTCTAGGGTTACAGGAACGTGCCACCACATAAACAATCCAATCCTGAGCGCTCAAAATACTGATGGACTCCGCCACAGTGCTGTGGGCTGCCCCAGGAGCTCTAGGAGCTGGGAGACGCCCTGGCCCAGGCCAGAGAGTTCAAGGTCCCTGCGGGGAGCTAGAAAGGAACAGTGCCAGGTGATGAACACCCTGGGAGGAGAGGAAGGGGCCCAACCCCTCAGGGGAGAGGGTATCTAAGGCGGTTCCTAGGGAGCATGGGAGAGACCGGAGCACACCTTCCTGGTGGGGAACTAGCACTGAGCCCACTACAGCACACCTGCAGCAAGTGGGCAGGCCAGGTGTTACGGTCAGATGGGGATAGTCCTCCTGGGGCTTCATCCTGCAAGACAGGTGATCCCTGAGGTTGTCCCACTGCCCCAGAGTCCCAGGGCTGCCTTTGTAACTAAGAGGATGGAGAGGGGGATGGGGACTGGGAAGCGGCCAGGGGTCCTGGGAGAGACCGGGCCATGCTGTCAAGGACCCAGTTACCCTTGTGCTGCATGGGGGCAGAGGACTGTGTCTGATGCTCCCTCAGGGCCCCCTGGCATGGCTGGCCCTGCCAACAGGGACTTGGGAGCAGGAGGACGGAGGGCCGCCTCCCCGCCCAGCCTGGGAACGTCCGGGCTGGCCGAGGGCCACTGAGGCTGGTGAAAGGCGCACTTACCATGACGGATGGGGGCCCGCCAGCCCCGCCAATTAGGCAAGATGGAGAGCCAGGACCCAGCTATAAATATCCCGCCGCCGACCGGCCCAGGAATGTAAATGGTGGCGTTGAACAAGCAGGAGAAAATGTTCAGTTTAGACAGGATGGGCCTGGGGGTTTTCAAAACACATTCTTTGCTCCACCAAGACTTTGAGTTGGGCAGCAGTAAGACCAGTTCCCAGAGAGTGAACTCCACTTACAGCTCTGTTCTGATCAGGGGGCACCTGGCAAAGGAGGGGCACATAGCCCCACCAGGTATCAAGGCCACCATCAGCAAGTGGCCCTGTCCCCAGCCTCCTGTGGCTGTGAGGGCATGGGCCAGGACTGAGGGGCAACTGGCCTTCAAGACCAGAGATCAGGAAACGGGTCTTTCTGTGGGGTTACTAAGAATGAGGCCCTCTGTGTCCTCCCACCCTGACGCCTGTTAATTTTTTTAATATTTTACTTTATATTTGTAGTACTAGGGGTTGAACCCAGAGCCTTTGCACTGAACTACATCCTCAACTCTTTCTTAGGCTATTTTTTTATGCTGAGATAAGGTCTTGCTAAACCTCTGAATTGCAAGCTGGATTTAAATTTGTGGTACTCCTGACTCGGCCTCCTGGAGCACTAGGGTTAGGAACATGTGTTACCATACCCAGCTCCCAACATGCTTCTAAAATTTTAGAGCAACTTTGACCAACAGAGTGATTAAGCCTCCTCTTCATCTGCTCTTGTGTTTCAAACCAAATGTTTCAGGACAGGCAGAGACTAGCAGGGGTTGACGGGAGAGGACGCAGCGTGGGCAGCATCCCACATGACAGTAATGCTCACAAGGAGGGCTTCGAGCCCTGCTGGGATGCTCCGAGGTCTGTGTGACCTCCAGTGGGAGGTCCAGAATAGCAAACAGTACAGTTACTGTGGCTTCCAGACCCTAGCAATGTGCGTGTCCGCTCCTCAGTCTTCAAAGTCCCCGTGGCTTCCTCCCGCGTGACTGTTCCATCCTGGTAGCTCTGCACAGCCCTGCAGAGGTAGCCCTCCTGTCCCTTAGTCCCTGGCCACACACTCGTGGCCACATGGGTTGTTCTTTTTTCCTCTGTGCTTTCTCCTATTGCTTGAAACCCTACACAACTCTCCAGGAAATGTAAGGGAAGTTAAACAAGTTAGAGAAAGAAAAGTTATAAGTGCTTTTCCAGAAGGCAGAAAAAAATTCAAGTTATTTCCTACTAGTGGGTCTAGAGTTTTATTATGTATTTATATATGTTTCAACTTTATAATCTGTCTGGAGATCATTTAATGTCAGCCATAAAGTGTTCGCTAATTTGCTCTCACCCTGAATTGCTGGGCTTTTGTTTCCCATTGCTGTGGAATGCTTATCTCTGTATGGACTGCATTTTATGTGTAATTGGTGCTTAACCATAGGACTAATTGCTGCTTCCTTTTCCATTCTAGTGGTGTCTATTGCTGATCTTGCTCCAGCATCGTGCTATTAAATTATTACTCCTTTAGACCATGTTTATTGGAGACTTTATAGCATAGTAATTAAGATGATGGGCTTTGAAGTCATGATGGTGAGGGTTTATACAAGAACTCTGCCACCTAATAAATGTTTGACCTCAGACAAGTTAACTCACTGTTCCTCCTCAATGAAATGAAATACGAGGAGACAAACCTCACAAGTTGAGGACAAACTGAGTGCTAGACAGAGGAGTCCATGAGACACAGGGAGCACAGGGTAGCCCTGCTCACAGATCAGTGCAAAGTCTGCCTGCCACTCCTCTTTCTCAGGACTATGCATTTGGTAGGCGCATGCCTATGCAATATGGCAAGAAAAAGAAACAGAAAGTGTTATGGTTGAGATGTACACCATCTGGTGGCCAGGATGTTAAAGGTATAGTCTCCATGGTGGTGTTACTGGGAGACATGGAACCTTTACTAGGATTTGGAAGCCCTGTGGAAACTTTATCCCTCTTTCTCTTTTGCTTCCTGGGCCTGAGGTGAGTAGTCCTGTTCTCCATAGACTCTCACTAAGATGAGCCACCCTCAGAGCAAGCATTCCAGTTGACCTTGGCCTGGAAACTCCAACTTTGTAAGTGAAAATAAACCTGTCTGCAACAGCAAGCAGAAACTCCTAGCATGCCTGGTCAATTGGGGTTTATACAATGTGCATCAGAGTGACCAACTGTCCCTGAGTCAGGAGCAGCTGAATCTGGAACAGAGCTATTACCTGGGCAACTAGGCACCTGAAGTACATTGCTAGGTGATTTTTGCAACTGTGTGATTTTCTGCTACAGCTCTAAGTTAACAAGCACATATTTCATTATGGTGACAGAAAAATAGGATGATTTTCCTAGAAGCAAAGGCTCCCTAGGCATCCTGACACTTGTCCCTCACTCACATAGACTCAGGATGCCATAGGCAGAGCCAGATCCCCAGGTCTTCCCTCCACCCCGCCCAGGTGGAACCTAATCACCAAGTTACCATGGTCACAGCAGAACATTCAGACCTCCCAGGGAGGAGAAAACAGCCTAGATTACTTCCTGCAGAAAGGCGAGGTGATAGAGACCCCCACAGCAACCACTTCCTGTGTGGCCACAGTGAGTGTAGAGACCTGAGCAGTCACCAGCTGGCTCTGATCCTGGGGGCTCCACACCTGAGGCCAGAGAACCCAGAAGTTGTGACTCTGGGGTAAAAGAGGTTTTCTGGAGAAATGATGTCCCGGCCCAGATGCACAGCGAAGAGGGAGAGGCTGCTCCAGGGAGGGGTGGCTGGGTCCTGCCTGCAGGGAGGCAGGCTGCTCCCCAAATGGGAGAGAAGGAGGAGGCTGCAGGCTTGCTGAGCAGAGTAAGAGCAAAAGAGGGCTGGGGCAAGATTGGCACACGTAGCTGGAAGTCCCACAAGCCAGGGCCTTCGCACAGAGCTGCGCCCCGGCACCTTTCAATACTTCATTTTGAGATAGTCTGCTAACTCACTACATTGCCCAGGCTAGACTCAAACTCGACATCTTTCTGCCTCAGCTTCTCAGAGTGTTAGAATTAGAGGTGCACACCATCATGCCCAGCTACAAAACTTCCTGCAGCTCCTGGAAGTGACGGGTAAGTTTCAGGGAAATGGGAAGATTCTCATTTCTAAAGGGTCCAGCCTATCTGCAGGGGACAGCTGAGGCAGGATCGTCCCTAAGGCAGGTGACCAGCAAAGGTGGCCTGGGGTGGTGAGGTGGGAAGATAGGTTGGGGTGGAATGGGGGGCTGGAGACTCAGTGTGAGTGATGGGAGTGTGGCTGGGGAGTGTCGGGTGATGATGACAGCAACAGGAGCAATGGGGAATGGTGATGGATGAAGAGGTCCATGCTGCTCATCAGGGTCTAGGCTAGGGTGTCTTTTCTCCAGGAGGCCCCTGTCACTCTGAGTCTGGTTCAGAGTCCTCACTGACTTTCGCGAGCTGAAGGGGCACAGTCCCAGAAGTCCTGACTTTCGCTTCTGGACCTCAGATTTGGAAGCACTTAGGAGCAAAGCTGTGACCCTGCACCTAGCACCATAACTCCAACGGAGGATTCAGGCCAGACAGAGGAAGAGAGCCTCGAAAGGACCCTCAGTTTAGGACTCAGCAGGAGAGGCAGCTGGGGGAGCAGGGGATGGAGGGATGCACCTTCTGAAGTTGAGATGTCCCAGGCCCAGACAGGCAGGGACAACGCTACAGCTGTGGGGCTCTGGGATCTAGGAGAGAGGGTCTTAGACTGGGTCCGTGGAGGAGCACTCCTGAGATGGTGAGGTCAAGAAAAATCTACCACAGCCAGGTCTGATAGCTTACACCCATCATTTGGGCGTCTCAAACCCAGCACTCTGGAGGCTGAGGCAGGAGGATTGCAAGTTTGTGCTTAGCCTGGGCAACTTAGCAACTTAATAAAGCACTGTCTCAAAAAAAAAATTAAAAAGGACAGTGTGAGGAGCCTGAGTTCAACCAAGTACAGAAAATAAAAGAAAAAGAAAAAATACTCGATCAGAAGTCAGAAAGGACTTCGCCCACAGTGGGGAGCGGCGGGTTGAAACCAGGCCCCAGAGGTCAGAAGTGAGCTTCCTAGGCTACTGGCCAGCCAGGTGTCTGACAAGAACCCCTACCTGGGAACAATGCCAGCCCGAACCCCTGTCTGCTGCAAGCCAGTACAGCCTGGCCCGGCCCACCCTCCTGGGCTGCCGGGCCGAGCTGAGTCCCACCCCACCCAGGCCAGGGTGAGAATTCCGGCCACAGGGCCCTGTGATGTGGTCACGTTGGAAAAATGTTAATCAAATATTCTCTCCGTGTTTCCTTTCTTTCCCAGGCTGGATTCCTAGAAGACAGGAATTTATGGTGTGAGAGAGCTCCAGCCTCTGCAAGCCTCAGCCAAGGCTAACAGCCCCAGCAGCGGCTGCCAAGCAGGGAGGGAGCGGGTGAGCGGCTGGGTGCAGGGGGCCTGTGTTTACAGAGCCCTCTGACCCCAAGTTCTCAAGCCAGGGGCCCCAACGAGGTCCCCCCTCCTGGTCTGCTCACCCATGACTGGGAAAAGTGCTCCCCCTGGGGACAAGGCCTGCGGAGACACCCAAGGGTCCTGAGAGTCCCTGTGCAAGTTGCTCTATCTCTGCCCCACCTTGGCAGCCCCCAGGGGCCAGGGGTCCCTGTGAAGCCCCACTCCTCTCTCAAGCCAAGGACAGGGTCATGGATGGCGGCTTCTTGGCCTCGTGTGGTGTGTCCCCTCTCTGGGGTATATAGCCTGGAGCTGCCTAAAGGAGCAGACCTCAGACCCTATCCCAGGCGACTCCTGCTGGGAAGACAGCTCACCCTGACACCAACACCACCTGTGACTGAAGGTCTGTCCACCTGTCACCTGCCGAGCCCCACTGCACACAGGGCACCTGGCAGCCCAGAACAAGGCAGAGGAGCTGCGGAGGGAGACTGGCATGGAAAGAAAAATGGGGGTGATTGTCCCATGAAGTCAGGAGGACTGGAGGGACTGCAAGATCCAAGCATGGAGTGGCAGCCCCAGGGTTAGGAGGACAGGGGTCACTGAAAGCCCCCTGAAGAAGTGTCCTCATGGACAGCTGGAATTCACCAGGCAGACACACAGGGAGGGGACTTGTGGGAACATTCCAGTTGAGACCCCAGCATGCGCAAAGGCCCAGAATGTTTATACCTTGGTAAGACTTTTCATATAAATAAATTCTCAAATAAAAAAAGAAGAAAAAGGCCTTTGGCAAAGCACACGTCTGGATGTCTTGCTTGGAAAATGAAACCCTGTTCTGTCCCAAAGTCCAAGGACAGCAGAGAGCGTGACTTGACACGTCTCAGGTCCCCCTCCTTCTACCCAGACACCCCAGCAGCGCCTCCCCATGCCCCTCAGGCTGCTCCCGCATCTCTGTCCATCCCCCCTTCTCACTCCTCCCCAGCACCTGCCTAGACCCAGGCCCAGTCCCAAGGACCAACTCCAGCTGTCCTCCAGCCTGGGCCAGGAGTCCAGGAGGGAACAAGGAGTGCCTGGGATTTTCCTAGGTGTCTGTTCTCTGGGTGCCTTGGAGTAGAGGGAATCTGAACTTTTGACGTCTGTTTTATTTTTCAAATCACAGGGGACACATTCCATCACCCCAGAGGATGCCAGGAAACCATGGCTAACTCTGAACCTTACAGACAAGGCGTGGTCAAAATAATGATGAATGCTTACATTTAAAAACTTTACTACAGTAAAAGACACATAGTCACGAATCCCTCCCAAAAGCCTCCCCCTCCACTTCTGGCACATAATCCCAGTGTTCTTGCCAATTTCAGAAGCAGTTCTGGACATGCTCTTTCCTGAGTGTCTTTAGGTGTGCCACCATGACTGCCTCAGTGTCGTATGTCTATTAAAACATTTCCTTTCTTGGTTATTTTGACTTTAGGGAACAGTTAGAAGATATACGGTACCAGATTTGGTGGATAAAGCAGATGAAGACATATCATAATGTTTTTATTTGACAGAAATTTCCATAAATGTGTGATCAATAAGGAGTAATCGTAAATGGTGAATGTTTAAATTTAAAATTTTATTTCAGTAAAAGATATTCTGCCATTAATTTCTCTCAAAATACTTCTTGCTTCAAAAACAATTTTTCCATTGTTCTTGACAATGAGCCTTTTGCTATAGTAAGACTTTTCTTTTAAAAAAAATCTAAACACCATATCTTTCATTCGCCCCTTGAATATTATGCTTTTTTCCTAAATAAATATACTATGATAAACGGTCTCCTTTTGACATTCAGCTCCTGTTTGTCACATCCAAAAGGCTGCCCTGCCACTTTTGAGCTTCAGGACCATCATTAGGTAAAATAAGGGCTACACCAAGCACTATAATATTAGTTGATCTGATAACCAACAAAGCCACTAGGTGGCTAATGTACAGGTAGCATATACAGGGTGGATACACTGCTGCTTGTCCTGTGCGCAACAGAGCAGGACAGAATTCGAGCTCACATCATACTCTGCAGGATGGCACACAATTCAGAACACTTGAATTGTTTGGAATTCCCCATTTCATGTTTTTGGACTGTGGTTCACCACAAAGAAATGAAACCACAGCAAGTTAAACTGTGGGTAAAAAGGAACTACTGGATTTACCTTGTCCCTGTTATCCTCTTTCCCTCCAACTCTGGGCAGCCGTCCTAAGGCATCTGATGTGTTCTCATAAAATATGGGTCACTGGTAACAACTATGGGAATGGGAACGGGTTTCCTCTTGGGGTGATGAACATGTCTCAGAACCAGATAGAGGTGATGGTTGTGCCACATTGTGAATGTGCTAAACATCACTATATTTTATGCTTTAAAATTCAGGTTCAAGTTTAATTTTATTTTCTCCCCACTGCCACCACCTTCCTTTTTCAGTACTGTGGATTCAATACAGGGTTTATGCATGCTTCATTACATTTAAATATCTAGTACACTAATTTAGTTTCAATAAGTTGCCCAGGCTGGACCCACTTTTATGATCCTCCTGCCTCAGCCTCCATAGTAGTCTGGACTACAAGGCATCCACAACCACATCCAGCCAGGGTTAGTTCTACATTTTATGAATTTTATTTGCATTTTTAAAAATGTGCATCACTGTTTGGAGAAGGGGATTTTGACTTACATCCCATGTGGTGTGGTTTCTTTATAATCCTGCATTATCTTAGAGTATCATACCACATAGCATTGGCCTGGGAAAAGAGCAAAATTTAAAATTCTAAGAAGACTTTCTCCTGAAGGTGTATCATTTTTACAGTATCATAAAATTCAAAAACCATCAGTTGACCCAGCCTCAGTCAGGCACCACCTGTGCTGCCAGACAGCAATGCAGGAAGCCACCCTTCTACCTGGTATCCACCAGCACACAAGTGACCCAGGCTGTGACACCAGTAGCCTGATGGATAGCAAGTGACATCTCACCGCTGTTTTAATGAGCATTTCTATGCTTTCTTCCTGTGGGTGAATTCGAGTCTCCCTTCTCATGTTCTCTAGATGTCTGTGTTTTCTTTTCACAAACTGCTAGTTCATACCCCTCGCCCATTTCTCTAAGCAGGATTGCTATCTAATTTTTTCCTGTGCAGATATTCCTCACATTCTCTAGAGAGCAACTCTGTGTTATTTAAAAAATCAGAAGTATCACCCTGCCTCCCCAGGTCTGTCATTTCATCCACAAGGCATTCTTCATAGGGCAGAAATCCTTCATTTCTGTTAGAGTTCTGAGGACTTTGATGCATGTGTTTAAAATCATGTATATATTTGTCCTAACCAGTGTCAGCCCCCAGCCCAAAATCACAGCATGGTGGTGATATAGTAGTGATGGGGATCTGGGCCACCACTGACAAGAGACGATGCAGCAGGGGACAGATCCGTGTGAAGGGCACTGCAGGCTTGGGGTGGCCTGGAGAGATAGGCTCTCTGCACCCCTGCTTAGGTCTCCATGAAAGGTCACACCAGCTGAATGAATTCAGGCCTGGACGTGAGAATAAAACCCTGAAGAGCAGGGTAAATTGTTGGAGAGGATCTTTGGGACATGGGTGGAGGGCACTTCTAAAACAGAGTCACACCATGCACACCCCAAAAGGCAGAAAGGGCCGGCCTCCAGCCTTATCCAGAGGAAGTGGCATTTCCTCCCGGACACAGCCGGGCCCTGCCCATCGTGAGTCATGAGTCTGCAGGCTGGCACCCTGGCCCGCCCTTCCCGTCCTGCCCAGGAGGGAGCAGTGTGTGGTGCCCACCTTATCTCACCCTTGCCCAAGGGCCTGCAGACATGAGGTCAGGGCCAGGACACAAAGAGGTCAGGGGTGGGTCAGGGAGAGGTCAGGGGTTGCTGGCCAGGCTGTCCCCACGCTTTCAAGGTGGCAGAAAAGGCAAAGCAGGAAGGCCACAGCCACCCTCCAGGGCCGGGGACAGCCAAAGCTTCATGCTGTCGGTGGTGCTGGGTGGGAGAAGACAAGGCAAGGCCGAGGCAGTCCTGTGTGTCCCTGTCCCTCCCCTAGTGGCTTTTGCAGCTGGCTGCTTATAGGAGATACACAGCTGAATAGTGACCCTGCTCAGTGTTAAGTGGGACTGTGTCCACACCACTGGTGTCTTCTGGGGGCTCTGTGGGTGTCTGGGTCTCGCTTGCTGGCCATGTAAAAGGGGTCACCTGCACTGGCTTTGTCCTGGAGGCCCCAAGGTTCTGTGACACTGTGCACTTGTGTCTGAGCCTGAGAGCCTGCTGGGTCCTCTGGGCCTGGCACCCAGAGGTATGTATGTAAATCTCCATGTATGAGACAGACGGCAAGCCCAGGCTTCCTTCCCTCTTACTTTGTCCCTGGCCTGTGCCAACTCTGCCAACCATCTTTCTCCAGAGGCTCTGAGGACTGGGACGAGGTGGGGTACCTCCAAGTCCTGACCCAACAGGGACTGGAGTTTCCACTGGGCAATAGCATTTATTTAGGGGCAGACAAGTCATGCTTTGGGGGCTGATGTCCGGCTCTGCCTCTGTTCCCCAGCCAGCAGGGACATGGGTATCCTGTCCAGCCAGTGTCTCTGTCAAGGTGGAGGGACCTCCTGGAGTCCTTCTGCTTCCTTTCAGGGGCCAGATCTGCGGGTCCCTTCCAGGCTGAGCAGGAGGCTGGGGGGCTGTTTCATCAGAGCTCCTCCCCCACCCCCTACCGGGGAACCTGTGTGCTTGAGAAAGAGCCCTGGGCAGATCCTGCTAAGTGACAGATGACGTAGAGACAGACAGATAAGCAGATAGATGAATAGACACACATAAGTACGTGATCAAACAGAAGTAATGTTTCAATTCTTTTTTAAAAATTAGTACAGTAAAAGCACACTGCCATGAATCCCCCTCAAAATCCTCCCCTTGCTTCAAACACACCCATTCCGCTGCGCTTGCTGCTTTCTGAAGCAGCTCTGGAAGGCCTTTTTCCTGGGTTTAAAAATGCAGCAATGCCTGCTGCCGAGCAGAAAGGCAGGCTGGAGAAACGTGTGGCTGTGTCTGCGTCCGCCTTATTCACGGGATCTGGCACCTGTAGCTTTTGGTTCCTCCCCAAAGTCTAAATGACAGAGGGAGAAAGCATTTTAAACCAGCTCAGGACCCCGAGGCAGCTATAACACAAAGCAAAGACACCCAGCAAAGCGGACTTCCAGCACCGCTTCCAAACATGGCAAGAGTCCTGGGATAAGCATGTTCCAGCAGGGCTCGGGGGGCATTATAAGGGGGCTTCATGGCCATGCATTTTTTCACTATGATATTTTTATTTAAACACACACCATATCTCACCTCATATATAATATTAGCTCTAATAAAATACTGCACCTGGTATCTGATGTTAAATCAAGGAATTATATTAGTCACCCAGGGAACCTCACACAGCTAAAAATGGTTGCACTTTGCATGCATCGGTGCTGCTGGCATCCAGAACCTTGCCCCCTCCTTCCTGCCAGCCACCTGCTTGGCCGAGGTGACAGTGGCCTGCCCCTAAACTGGACATGGATGGGAAGCTGAGGAGCATGTTCATCAGAGCTGCAGCATGGAGCTGGGGAGGTGTGGGTCTGATGCAGGCTCTGCCCTGTGTCCTCCCTACTATGCCCCCCAGTTCTCGGGAGCCCCCCCCACTGGGAAGAGGCCAGGTGGGTGGAGACGTAGGGGTGGATGGCACATCCCCAGGGCACAGCTCCTCACGGTGACCTCTCAAGACCGATGAGCCGGGGCGCCAGGAGGGAGCGGGGG